TAAATATATAATATATGTATATAAATTTTTCACTTAAAATCTCGCCTTTTTTTTCCTTTTGTAGTGTGTCAACGGAATACCGATTTCAAACTATCTGATCATGTGTTGTTATTGGCATATATAAATGCTGAATAAAAATATAGAGACGGGCGAGAGAGACATTGATCTGGAATTATGTTAAATGTAGTTATGATATGTATAATATCATTTTGTATAAGACTTATATCTCGCTTGGCAAATAAGGAAAATTTATATACATATAGTTTCTAAATATTTGGGATTTTTAATCCCATAATATTATTTTAACAGTAAATATTTAATCATCAGAACTAAAATCGAAAATTTAATATCAACATGCATTAGTAAAACAAGTTGTTTAATAAAAATAGAATATTATAGTATAGAATATTGTAGAATATTATAGTATATAATTTTGAAAATTTTTTAATTAGAAATTGACAAACTGATTGTTAACTGTTTGATAAGCGAGTTTGCTTTGATATTCATAGTAATAAAATTAAATTAATTAAAATAAACAGAAAACAGTGATATCGTTATGTTATTGATTGTCAGAATATAATTTCCATTTACCTTTCATACTTTTTATCGATTCTCTTAAACATACTCGTTTGAACTATTTTTTTATATGCTTCGCACAATAATACTGGCTCGATTGAGCTTGGCTAAACTAAAATCAACAACAGCTCTTAGTTGCCTTCATTGAGATCATTTCGTCGTAAAATCAATGACCTTTATTTTGTAAAAAATCGGATAATCTGTGAAATGTATCATTTATCAGACAGATCAAACTGATCACATTTTTAACTGACATTTTTTTAATGACATTAATTTATCAATGACACACACACACACACATACACACACACACACACACACACGCGCGCGCGCGCGAAGAAATTAAGCATAATCATGTTGTTACAAGAAAGTGTTTTTATACTCATTAATAATTAATACTTCGTATTTTTATCTTTAGCAGATTTTATGTACAAGCCCGCATTTCATTTTCTTAGAATCTATACAGGTTACTATTAAATGCGCTTACTTAAAATCTGCAACTTTCTTTGTCAGTTCTTTACAACTTTAGATTATGATAGAAATAGAACATTTGTCATTTTAAAATTTAAAGTAGAAATAGAATTAACTGTAATAACAGTGGAGGAGAAAAAAAGTTAAAAGGTAGCAATTCTGATAACACGGAAGTTGAAATCTAATTAGTTTCGCTACGTTTTTCTTCCGCGAATCAGAGGCCATTCTGTGCGGGACGATGAGATCATTGTCGAGGTTGTTTATATAACTCTTGTTCAAATGTGTCACAATAAATAAAATTGAAATAACAATGGAAGTCAACGAACGTTACATTATAATCGAAGGACACAAAAATGGACGGGGCTGATAACACGATGAGTCGTGATCATCGTAACGATCGGCCGGTCGC